CTGGCCCGGTGTGATGTAACATTCTGGTTCCCGACACCTCTACAGGGTGTGCGAGGGAGCTGTACAAGCAATGCACATATGGATGGAGCTCAGTCACAGCACAGCAGCCCACACTGGATCCCAGGCTGAGGATCCACTCCAGTTCCGATAAGTTAGGGAGACTGGGTGGATCTTAAAAGAATAACTTTTTTTTTTGGTGGGGTGTCTGGTGGGCTGTGCAAAGTTTTAGGTGGGCTGTGCGGAGTCTCAGGTGGGCTGTGTGGAGTCTCTGGTGGCGTCTCTGCTGGGCTGTGCGAACTTTAATGTGGGCTGTGCGAACTTTAATGTGGGCTGTGCGGAGTCTCAGGTGGCCTGGTGGGGTCTCAGGTGGGCTGTGCGAAGTTAACTGTACAGAACCTAATTGATGTAAACCATGGGCCAACCTCTGTTTTGTTGTCTTGAATTCAGTGTGGTTAATACCACAATGATACCCAAGCCTGGATACCACAAAGTAAAATATTGGTACTGCAGATATATTTTTCTTTTCTAAATGACCCCAAAGTACTGGCTGAGTTTTTATTTTTTTTATAGTTTTTGATTTTGATGTCTTATAGTTCTGAATTTTAGTTTTCTGTTTCATTCTTTGTCCGAATCCAGATGCCATATTGTACGATGTTCTCAGATGGACATTATTATTTTCTTCAGGGAGATGTTTCAGTGAAAGGTTTTCTTTCTTTCATGTGAATAGGGATATAGTTCAGCTAAGGGGTTTAAATTGTCTATTAAAAGCCAGTTTTATTGCATGTCTGTTGTAGTTTAATCTAGTATTGAAAAGTAAAGCCCCTGTGCAGAATGTCAGCTCAGAAATGATTGAGAGGATTAAAGGAACAGAAGTGAGCAGTGATGGACAAGAAAAGGGAAGGACGCTTCGGAACCAATGACTGATTTACAGAACACATACAGTATATTTTATGTTTAATAACATGATATTCATGATAAGCTGTGATTAAAATCAGTTCAGTGATTTGTTTCACCTTACAAAGAGGGTATAACTTCCTGTGTATTTGAAAGGGTGGTGTAGGAAAAATCTTAACTTTTATATAAATTGCTATAGGTTAAACTTTATGTCCAGTAACGTGAATTTTGTTAATTTACACTGAGCATACAGTTCTGCACATGTGTCAGTCATTGAGCTCACCTGTGAATTTAGAGTATATTTAAGGCCAAAATCTTTTCTTTCCCATTTACTTAGGGACACAGGATTCAGAGTTTATTGGGTTATACTGCCATCTACAGGAGGATTTGGTCACTAGCAAATAAAAAACAGTGACCAGCTCGGTATAGTCCCTCTTCCAGGATACGAAATCAATATTTGCCTAAACACTAGTTGATCTGGTCTCTATATGGCGTTATCCAGATTGATGTATCCTCAGCAATAGCTTTGGAGCCCATAATATATATAATAGGTTTGGAGCCTGGAATATAACTTTTAGGCACTGGACTCTAAATTGTGGCACTTCCTAGACCTGAGTGTACTGTGCTAGCCACAGAGTGCTTTCAATGTCCAGAGCCATGGCACAGTCTCTGGTGTGACACAGTCTATGAAGACTTGCTTTGTTAGTAAGCTGTGTGGGCTGACCATCGAGAGCTACATCATGAATTTGTTTGGTGGGCGCCTTTTATTATTCCTATTTTTTTTTACATTGGTTTACTGTGGAAAGTGTAATGCTGAGAGATTGGGGTTGATTTACTAAAGGCAAATAGGCTGATCAGTTTGCAAGGGAATTGGCACTATGCAGTTGCCCCTTATTTTAGTGAATTAACTAAAGCATTACTGCCATGATCCAATCACATGCAAACAAATATTTTGGGGGAATTTTTCAGAATTGGAGCAGTTGCCCATAGTAACAAATCAGCTTCTCTCTTCAGTTTGTTCAGTTAAAGGAGAACTATGGGGTAAGTGTTTTCCCCATACTTCTCCTAAGGGTCACGGGAGGACATAAACTAGCATCCTCCCGTCACCCCAAGCTCAGTATATTGCGAGCTACAGCTCACTGTATACTGAAACCGCTGCAGCTGTGACAGATCCCGACATTACTATCAAGATCCACCCAGCTGCGTGAGTGACAGCTGGCTCTGTCTATCTAGAGGCAGAGCCAGCTTTACCCGCCCCCTCCTCCGTCCGTTCCGCCAGTCAGCGCTGGAGGATTGGACAGGGGAGGTGGGGAATCCCTGCAGGGAGCCGTGAGTGACAGTCACGGCTCTCTGCAGGGACATGATCGAGAAGTGAGTGAGCGACGCTATGCATCTGCTCACTTCCCAATCCATTGAGCCGACGTGTGACCGTTTCATTGTCACACGTCGGCTCGAACTATGAGGTTGAGTGAAAATCAGTCACCTCATAGTTCTCCTGTAAGCTTTGAAAATGAAAGATAGAAGCTGACTGGTTGCCATGGGCAGCTGCTCCAAATTCCATCTGCCCTCCACCTATGCCAAATTGCAATCTTAATTGCTGACTCTGACTGCAGAGGTCATAAGTGTATCTCTATGCCTTCCCCTGCAGAATTGTTATCTGCCTGCAGCCACGTTCTGCCGGAGAGGATCTGTCTGAAGCGAAGTCTCAGAATTCCTACATGGATGATATTGCCCCTGAGGAGTCGCGGGCTATGCCATTACTCCCAGACTTAGACCATTTTTTCTCTTATTTATATGATGCGTGCCACGTTGAAACTGGAAGATCAGCCTGCAGCTTCTACAAGTGCTGCTATCTTTTAGGATATGTTAGAGCAGGGGTGGGGTACCTCCGGCCCTCCAGCTGTGGTGAAACTACAAATCTGACTCTGAAAGTCACTCCTGTGGATGTGAGAATCTTGCAATGCCTCATGGGATTTGTAGTTTCACCACAGCTGGAGGGCCGGAGGTTCCCCACCCCTGTCTTAGAGGCTCTAAGACTATCAAGACTTTCCAGGGCACCAACTAGTCCGAGATGTCTTTTATAGAGATGTCGTTATTCAAGTCCACAAATTCCGCTTGGAACTAACCAGGTTTGTCATAGCCTTCCTCTATCAGGGAGACTTTCTGGCCTGTGTGAACATCAAGCATATATACTTGCATGTCCCAATTTTTCCAGTGTACTAGCGCTTCCTTCACTTTGCTCTGGGTACCCACCACTTCTAGTTTGAGGCCCTCCCATTCAATCTGTCTTCTGCACCCCAAGTGTTCCTGTGCTTGCTTTGTAATGCTCCCGGGGCAGCCCCATTGTAAGATATCTGGACAATCTTCTCTTGAGGGAGCAGTCACGGACAATTCAGATCTTGAAAAGGTTTGATTGGATCTTGAACCTGCATAAGTCAACGTTGGAGCTGACTCATTGCTTGGAGTACCTAAGTCAAGCCAATGTTTTTCTTCCCCAAGAGAAACAGCAAACTCTCTGTTCCCAGACTCGTGCTTTCCAGTCCAGAAGCCGCCCGACTCCTGGCTTCTGCATGAGAATCCTGGGGCTGATGATGGCTTCACTCAAGGCAACCCAATTTATGAAGTTCCACTCCAGAACAAAGCACAACTCCAGAACTCAACATCTTTTCATCAAGGGACAAATCAGTTCAGTCTCTATATAAAAATATTTGCCTGACACCAAGGACCAAGTTGTCCCTGGCCTAGTGACTCGGCAGTCAAATTCTGCAGTTGAGATCCTTCCTTCTGGTTTCTTGGAAGACCCTCACGATGGATACCAGCCTGACAGGCTGAGGAGGCATCCTAGGTCGGTGCAGGTGACTTTGACACCAGAGGAATCCCATCTCCCAATCATTAATGTGGAGCTCCAATGCAATTTGGCTGTCCATACAATGCTGGCCACCCTGGCTGGAAGGTCATCTGATCAGACTCCAGTCAGACTATGCCACAGCAGTAACATACATCAACCATCAGGGATTAACCAGAGTTTTGCTGCAGGCCAGGGCAGAACTTCCAGCCTTGTCTTTCATTATGTCTCAGGTGCGGACAACTGACAGACAGACATCCTCAGCCGGCAGTGCCTGAATCCGGGAGAATGAGCTGTACACTCACAGGTGTATCAGGGCCTGTTTCACAGGTGGGGGAGGCCAAAAGTGGGCCTCCTGGTCTCCAATTTCAACAACAAAGTTAACAGGTTTGTCCAGATACATAAATCCTGGTGGAAGCAGTGGATGCTCTGGTGGCTTTGTGGGATCCAGACAAACTGATTTCCGCCTTTTCTCCTCTGAAGCTTCTTCCTCGTCTATGAAGATGGAGGACATTCTGGTGATAATCATGTAGAAAGGCATTGTTTTTATTTATAGTCAGCAGATTTGACCTGCATTTAACCTTCTTTGCTTTGTGTTTCTTTGGATGTAGAACATCCTCTTGGGGTCCATTTGAATTCAATTGCAGGGTTTTCTGTTGAAAACAGCACAGCATGGAAATACAAAAAGCAGCATTTGAGAACAATCCTCTACAGAAGCCTTTAGTCAAATGACTGACTCAGAAGAGGGACAACCCCACATTAGTTTCTCCACATAGAGGTAGTGGGGGTCTAGATTTTTCAGGCCAGAGCTAATGTTGAGCTTTTAAATTGGACAGCCCAGCATGCTCTGCACAGACTGAAGCATCGGAACACTTTGTATTACATATTCATTTGTAATTTAAAGCTGGATTCTAGGCAAACCGCACAGCTCTGTCTGACAGGGCAGGAGACCTGATTTTAATGTGCTGCAGTAACACAAGTCTCTTCCTTCCCCTAGCCTGTGACTGGACAGTAAAATAAGTAAAGCATCAGACTAATGAGCTAATCTTTCACTCACTCTGTTCTCACCTTCTATTAGCATGATTCTTGTTAGTACATAAGCATTGTAGCACATCTGATTGGCTCCTTGTGCTGCTACTCCATCTCCCAGTCGGAGCTTTGCTGTATGTGGACTGCAAAAGCTGATACTAAGTCAGATTTACTGTTTGTATTGAAAATACATTTAACAATGTAGTAATGAATACAGCACCTCATTAATTTGTGTCTTTTTATAAGCCTGGAGCTGGAGTTCAGCTTAAGGGATATTATCCACTTAAAAAGAATAAAATATTTGTTTATACAATATTAACTTACAATAATAAAAAGACCAAAAACACTGGATTGATTGACATGCGGCTGTTAAAGGAGACTTATAGTAAGCTAGGTAAAGCTCCAAAGGACTGCCAGTTTGCCAGTTAAATTCAGGAGAGATGATTATTTACTTAAGACTACACTAATATGTATTTAAAATGCTGCTGCAGGTAACTTACAAAATTGATGTATGGGAATTCTGCAGACATGTCAGAGCTGTGCGTTTAATTAATTACCTCGAAAGCCTTTTAGAATTGACAGTACATTTTAGTTATTTCATGGAATAGATTTGCCTGATTTCACCTAATAAGCAGGCACCCTGGGTTTATGGAAGTTATTAAAGCAGAAGTCCAGTCCAAAATAATAAGATAAAAAGATACAAATGAATAGCCCATTAAAAGATAAAATAACAAATTTAGATTTTGCTGCTATATTCACCTTCAGTACAGAGATTGCCCCCACAGTGCTTTATTTTCTGCTACTATTCTGATGGCCAGCATCGTTCAATTCTCTCCCTCTAAACCCAGGTCATCCCGGACAAGCCCCCTCCTGTGATTGGACAGTGAAAGAGAAGCAGCTCAGTGATGAGCTCATCTCTCTGTCTCTCTGCTTTCTCTTCATCTCTGCTATTCAGAGATTCATGTATTAATGTTTGCAGAGCTGCTTTCATTTATGTCTTTTCTATCTGCCTAGAATTCAGTTTTTAAGTAGAATTTGTTACTGCTAGCACAAAAATGTCCCACAGTTACTGCATGTGAAGCAAATTGTTTGAAGTACAATTATTTTCAACCAGCTCTTCCATATGTTTTTTTTACATGACCAAAATGACCGTCTGAAATCTGTGTTTTTCCTGCCTCATCTTTTAATGTTTCAGTAAATGTAGTGGGCAGCTGACATTCTGAAAATGGCCCATTACCTAAATCTTTCCTGTATTAACCTAGATGACATTTTATTTATGTCATATGAGCAGTAATATTTTATTCCTTGTTTTTTCCAGATTAATGTATAAAGCATCTGTGAACCAAAGAATGTCCGAAAAAAAGAAAAAGCCAATTAAAAAGACTGCAAAAGCAAATGTCTCCTCCAAAACACACATGGAACGGAGAAGCTAACGTGTTGTTGTAGGGAACAAGAACGACTCTTCCTTCATGTACTTCAACCAAGAGGTCCATTGTGTCTCTGTTTGAGGGGGACTTTCAGAATCTGTGAAACTCTAAGCAGGCGTTGTAAATTTGACCTCATTTGCCAATCCAGGGCATGTTGCCATACTCCACCAAGAGCCCCGTACAGACAACTGCCATTTAAGGTCCAGCCTGTAAGAACCACATGCTCATGAAAGTTATTGTCCTGCTCAATTGTGCAATGCTGCCCCTAATCTACCTTCAGTTGGCAATCATTACCAAGGCATTAAAATCTAAAACACAGGTCTTGTTCTGCCTTTGGATTGGATGGTTAAAGCATATGTAAACCCCAAAACAATAATTTAATAAATTGCAGCTTACCAATCTTTTTTTTTTTTTTTTTTTATTGAAGCTTCATACAATTAATTAATGGCCAGGGCCTGAGTATCTAGGCACGACATCCCTGAAAACAATGATAATTACAGAGAAAAAAAGATGGGGGTTTGAAGGTACCACAAAACAATTCCAAGGCAATTGAAGATAAAAATGTATTTTTTATTAAATATTGTTTAAAAAAATGAATTAATATAAAATTTATACATGAAAACCTCCAAACAGATATCGCCTAAGAGGCTCACTCCACTTCTATGTGACCAAGTCAGTAATACATGATTGATTTAAGACAATAAAGTTGATTACATGATTCCAAATGAAGACATGATTGATGCCTAAATTAGTTCAGAGTGGAGGAGTCACGTAGTTTACCGGCTCACTCCACTTCTATATAAACTACGTGACTCCTGAACTAATTTAAGCATCAATCATGTGTTCATTTTGAATCATGTCATCACCCTTTTGTCTTAAATTAATCATGTATTACTGACTTGGTCACATAGAAGTGAAGTGAGCCTCTTAGGCGATATCTGTTTGGAGGTTTGCATGTATACATTTTATATTAATTCATTTTTTAATAAAAAATAATATTGTTATCTTAAATTGCCTTGGCATTGTCTTGTGGTACCTTCAAAACCCCATCTTTTTATCTCTGTAATTATCATTTAATTGAAGCTTACCAATCTTTAAATGTGGTGGCTGCATTAGTTTTCTTTTTGAGGCTTATTTTGTTCTTTATTTTCCTGTCTGTATATTTTCTGTCTTATTGTGGCTTCATTTTATAAAGCAGCAACCTGTCAGAGGGTAGTGTTTGCACTAGCAGATTTAAATGGACATGACTAACAAGTTAAAGCCAAACTCCAGAACACTTTTAACCAGTTTCAGCGACTTTGGAAAAAAACTTTAACCCATATGATCAAACATTGACCCCTGTCAGTGTTAGATGGTTTCTCTCAGCCCCCTATCTGCCACTTTTGCTGGATAGCTTGGTCTGTTAAAGGAAGCTGAAAAATAACAAACGTACTGGCTGGATCAGCAGGTGAAAAGAATGGAAAAAAGCCTTAAAACAAAAACTAATACGGCCACCACATCTAAAGATTGGAAAGCTGTAATATATTAGTAGATGCCTTTCTACTGTTTTACTGTTCAAAGCCCATTTCGTGTGCACCTTGCTGTATAACTGGTGACAAATTGTTGAGTGCGTTTGTCATTTGTTTTGTAGCCCTGAACAGTCACATTGCTAGTATGGTCCATGGTATATCATCACCTGGAGGTAAGCTTGAACTCTTCAGTGCTATAACTTATTATTCATGAGCTGATCAGTAATATGTTTAAGTTGACTAATGAAGATTTTACTTGAAAGAATTTCTACAATTCAGAAGCTTTTTTGGTCTAATTTTCTTACTGAGAATGGAACGACATTGATGTAAATTGTCTACTGCCTTCTCTTTATACTTACAAGCACAGGGTGAATATGGAGTGAATGTGAGATCTGTCATTTAAAGCATTTATTTATTTCAGATGAGAAACATGGGAGTCCTGGTCATGCACATTATATAAAAGAAATCTGAGATGGAGACTGCCACTGCTACAATTTCATTTGAAAGATCTGGATTTTTGGCTGTTGTATAGATCCAGAAGCTTGAATTCTATGATTCCCTGACTCTGAAAATGTATGTAGAGCTTGATTTCTGACTTTCCTAGCTGCCAGCTTGTTTCAGGTCTACTCAATATTGAGGCCAAAGACAGCCAGGTAACTGGTATTGGCTATGGCAGCCTCTGTATATTCCTTAGCTGTAGATTACTGTAAACTACATAGGCATACTGCCACACTCCTTACTTGATACCACTTGTTGAGAAGATGGGTGCTGTAGTGACCATGGATGGCTCGGCAAGCATCAAACCAATAACGAAGTATCACAAGCACACTGCTGAATAGTGTATGAAACACACCGCTTCTTTATTCACGCATAATGTCACATCAGAAAATGCAATGTTTTCGGGGCTGTGCAGGATTCCTTTCATCAGGCTTAATATATAATTTTCAGGTTTCATAAGGCTTAATTATCATATTAAGCCTGATGAAGGGGACCCTGCACGGCCCCGAAACGTTGCATTTTCTGACAATATGCGTGAAAAAAGAAGAGGTGTGTTTCATACACTATTCAGCGGTGTGCTGGTGATACTTAGTTACTGGTCTGTTGTAAACTGGCACCTAGAGTGGGAATTTCTCCAAAACATTTGCAAGCTAAAAGAGAATTGGTGCAAATCAATCAGACAGTGCTCCTGTCCTGCAATGGATCCTCAGCTTTCTCTGAAATGCCAGTTGCCTGACTGTAAGTCTGATTCAGTGTCTTCAGCACTTTCTGCATCCTGAACCACAAAAAGTAAGCAGATTAGGAGTTCTGACTTTGGTGTCTGCATGATTGTTCCAGGTCAGGCTTAGATAGCCAGTCATTTAGCATTTTCAGGAAGAGTTCAGCAATGTCCCCATATAGTACAGATTTCCTTTAACTTTGGGTTTTCTGGTACCTCTTTCCAAATACGTGCATAGATCAGAGAATTAAAAGGTTTCCAATATCATCCTTCATCTCTTTTAATGCCTAAACATCATCCAAGTTCAGCCTCAATTAAAAGTTGGAGCCCTGCCAAATCTCGACTTCATCCTGGCATTGCTGCCTCCTGACTTAGCCATTTACACATACTCGATCATTAAAAAAATATTACATAAGCGTTTTTATTTCGTTAGCATTAACATTCTGCAGCAACATACTTTCTCTTTTTCCAAGCAATGCATGCTGTGACCAAATCCCTTTTTGAATGATACTTTTGCGGGCTTATTGGTGAGTCATGATTGTATTATGTTAGCCATTAGTCTCCAGGAAGCCATCATGTCGTGCTATAGGTCTTGTTCCATTAGCTTGAGCTTGTGGGAAATGGTAAAACTGCTCAGAGTAGTTCAGGTTACTTCTGGTAAGGTTAAGCTGGCCATACACTTAGTTTTTTCTTGCTCAGCCCTGCAGGGTAACCAAGAAAATGCTTTTTTCCCCCATCCATACAAAACAGAGTGTATGGAGGATTCTATCCTGCCGGCTATTGTGTTCTTCAAATCAGGAGAATATTTCAGAGGTCCTAGGAGGATCTACTTTGTGATAGACCCAACTTGATTTGTAGGCAGCTCATTAGCTTGTGGTTGGGCAACTCAAAGACACAAAATAGGAGGTGAAATGTAATGAGGTGAGTGGGTGCCAGACTGCATCCTCTGCACGTGTACCAAATGTGCGGCACCAAGGATTTTCCATATGTTCCGTTAACCCGTCACTGTCTGGCCACCTATATTGTTACCTAGACCCCTGGGGATACTATGGCTCTCAAAGTGCAAGGCCTCAGGCGGAATCACTGCACCTCGCCCCTTACTAGCAGAGTCCACCTCTGAGAGACATCTGGCCTAATTGATATACTCCAGTGGTCTTCACACATGCATTACTTAGGTCTTAGCATAGCAGTCCAGCCCATGCAAGCTCATTCCCAGGAGAAGCCCCCATCTTGAAGTTAAGAGAAGGATCAGTCCACAAACAGAGCCTTTTCAATGCTTTACTAAAGTTACTTCTGTACAATATCTTGCGTGCTTCAGTCATCCACATTCGGGTGATGGCACAATCCTTATTGGAACAGTTACCAATGAGAGATGAGTCATCAAGGTGAAGTCCAGACCCAAGGAGGGGTTTGCTCCTCCTTGAGTCCTGCATCCTTACATAGGCATGCGAATAGTCCCTTTACATAAGTCCTGCTCCTGTTTTCAGGCAAGCAGAGTCAGCAACAAGCTGGCAATCAGGTACAAAATCAGGATCCAGGAGAGTAGTCGAAAAACAGGCCGAGGTCTAACATGAACAGGCAGCGAGGTACAAAATCAGAAAGCAGAAGAGTAGTCAGGAAACAGGCCAAAGTCTTAATAATATCCAGCGATCAATCCAGCAGCAGCAGATACAGGGACAAATCCAAATAAACGGGCTCAGAGCACAGGAAATGCTCAGTATTTGAAGGCCGGGCTGATTGCAGATTGACTGCAGCTGGTAATTAGGTGGAGCTACATATAAATAAGCTGCGACTCATTCTCCCCAAATAATATTTTCCGTATGTTGCTAAAGTGTTTGGGTTTCACTGAAAGAAAAGTTGGCAACCCTAACCTGACACTATCTTTATATCCTTTCAGCCACATACCATAGAGTTCTTCTAATAGAGGGCAGAGCTGACATTTAGCTCATACAGTGACTCCTAAAGTCACAAACACTTCACCCTAATCTATAGCAACATCTAGTGTGCAGAAAGGGGAACTACACTCTTTTAATCCTGCCCACTATCCTACAGAGGTACTGGGAGTAACTCAGAGACAGAAAACAAAATAACACCAGACCGAAACAAATGCTAGCGTCCATAAAAAAAAAGTGTAATAACTGTGCTGATCACAAAACCATTGCATTTCGGGGGACTCTGACATCAGTTTTGGTCTGACATTCTTCTGTTTTCTGTCCCTGGCTATTGTAGTCTGACAGCCAAATGCAGATAGCTGCCAGAATACCTGAACAGATGCTGATTGG